TTCACATTAAACTTACTCTACACATAGAGATGATGAAGATAGTGAAAATTTTGAACCTCATAGGAACTTTATGTGGTACTAAATCACTCATGTATCTTACCATGCAATATATAAAGTGTAAAATATTGTAGTAAATCATTATATATAAATGATTATGGTGTGTTTAATCTTTTTTTCATTAATTACTACATATTTTCTACACTCACAGTGTTTGGCCAGCTCGCTGTATAATCAACTTAAATTAGTTAAATCCATCATGTAATGCATTTCCTTTTTTTTTTTTGATGAACTAATAGATAATTGACTAAATAAACATTCTCCAAAGTTTCAATAAAAATTTCCAAGTTTTTCTTACAATTTCCGTGGTTTTTATTCAATTTTTATCGATATCGATAATATCCCGATATTTCCATCGAAATTTCCATGTTTTTGGACTACCGATATTTCCGATATCATCAATATTTTATACTATGGTACTAGCAAATTATTAGACGTTGAATGAGTAGAACTCCATATAAAGATCCACAAATTTTATCTTCTAGTTAAACAATACCTAAATCCTGATAAAAAATAAAATAAAGTAATGTAACGAATACATAGAAATAAATAATACTTAATTCAAGTCGGTCTTAAATTTTGAAAATACATGTAAAATGTGTTAAGAGTAGTAATTTTTGCACTCCGTCCTTAGTAATCAATATATATTAAAACACACCAACCTGAATATAATTAACAAATGAATTAGGACCAATTTCAGGTTTGGGAAGGACATGGTCACATGATTAACACAATGATAGTGTATGAGTGTTGAAGAGTTATTTTATCATTTTTTGAACTTTATGAATCTTTCATTACCTTATCCTCTATCTAATTAGCTACTTTTTATAAGTATCAAATAAAGGGTTGAGGTCATCCGATTCAGATTTTGCGCAAAACTTGGCAGATTCCTTCCTACATCATATTCCTGACAACTTACATTTGCTCTAAATTCTAAATTGAATCTGTCACAGAGAGAGAGAGAGAGAGAGAGAGAGAGAGAGAGAGAGAGAGAGAGAGAGAGAGAGAGAGAGAGCCATTTCAAATTCAAAGTGGTCCTGTTCCCGGGAACTCGAAATGTAATATAGCTGTCATGTTTAACCCAGCAAAAAAGGAAATAACCAAATCCAGTGCCTCTTAGATTATGATTACCAATCTTATTTGTATATATATAAGTTTCTTTTAATGACAATAAATTGAATTTACAAGTGAAAAATAATACCTTTAAATTGTAATATCGGAAGCAAATACAAACTCCCGCGTATTTTTTCTACTTTCTATGGTTTTGTAAATTTGACAACTAGCTGAGAAGGAGAAAGAGAGGAGCGTATGATCGGTCATGGTGGGCTTTAGAGTTAGACAGAGAAAAAGAAGGCTATTATTGAAGATAGGAAAACAAGGAGAATAATGTTATGATCGAGACGATATAAAGAGAGGTCCCATAACCTTTTTACATTTTTATTTTTTGTGCATGCTAAAATCATGTTGCAGGTATCCATTATTAGAGAGAGAAGAGCCCCTAATTTTTCCTCCACAAAATTATATCTACGTAAAAATATGTATTCTACTACCAACAACTAGATTTTGAATTTCTTTCCTTATTGTACGGTATTTGTGTATGGGATAGCAAAGCGATCGGAAATAAATTAGGTTAACCATGTCATTTTATTTTATAAACGATAATGTTAGTTGTGATAGAAGTAGATAATGAGTCAGCACTCATTTGATGTATGTATAAATACTCTCTTGATGTATAATTCTGATTCATTCAATGAAAGATTCAGTTCATCACTTTCTATCAAGTTGGTTAAATTGTTAGTTTGAACGAGGATCGGTGGGATGAAATACACACCAGGTCATAGGCATAATTATTTTTCGCCACTGATAAAGTGTCATCTACAGGTCAACCATGTCTTCACAAGAGTAAAATATTTTCAAATGGGTGTGATATCCACACACCCCTTTTTACTTCTCACACACCCTTCTAATTTTCGGCCATCGGATCGAATGAAATGAAGAAGACCAACAGACATAAATTAACAAGAGGTGTGTGAGAAGTAAAAAGGGATATGTAGATAGCACATCCCATTTTTAAAATAGAGACAGGAAAGAGGTTAAAGCCCCAAAAGAAGTTCTTTCTAAAGGCCCCAAAAATATTTGCATCTGTTATGGATTGGATCTATAACGGCCTTCGGTACAAGTTTGGGCTCAAAACGAATAATTGTTATCTATGTTTGGCAGCAGCGGAAAGAACTGCTTTGGGAGGGCCGTGGTGGCGCAAGTTTAGGCCATCTTCAATCGAAGAGGCCCTCTTTAGCCTTATAGCCTTATAGTCATCCCAAAAATTATATTTTAATGAATAGTGTCAGATCATATTTCATACTATCTCCAACCGAGGGGGTCAAAGGACCATAGACCAAACATAGCCCTGTGACAAAAAACCATCTCCAACTGAGAAGTCCAAAGGGCCATAAGCCAAACATAATTTATTATTTCAAATTAAAGACTACAACAACTTAAATTTAAAAACTACAACTTAAATATTAAAAACTACGACTTAAATTTAAAGACTACAACTTAAATATTAAAATTAGAATTTATTAATATTATTCTTTTAAAATTTTGTCCGAGAAAAAAAAATTTCAAATCCAACGGCTACTGGCATCATGCTGACACCAGTAGCCGTTGACATTTGAATTTTGGGCCGCCCCGAGAATGAGCCAGCTGGTTGGCCTAATTTGGTATTTTTGGTCTGGTGAGACCCATGAGCCATTTGGCCTAACTCTCAGTTGGAGGTGGTTTTCATGTCATTTAAGGCTATTTTTAGCCATATGACCCTCTGGCCGGATCGGTTTGAGATGGCTTTAAAGTTGGCATCAACAGTTTCTAAGATTGAATGGTACGCCGAAGCATCCCGTTCATCTTCTTCAGTCCAAGTGATGGCTGATTTAAGATAAATGTGGATGTGGCGACAAGATTGCACGAGGGAGTTGGCGGTGCTTGTGCCATGGTGAGAGATTGGAGAGGTACATTTATTGCAGAGGTGAGCTCGGTGATTTGTGAGCGTCTCCTCGGCTGCTCACATTGAGATTTTGGCGATGTGTGGGGTTGAAACTTGGGATGTCTCTAAATCATTCCAAGATTGAAGTAGGGAACGATGCTTCTCTTATAGTAACAGCTGTCTATAGAAGGGAGATTGAATACTCTCCTCTTGGTTGTTTGATTGCAGATGTAAATTACTGGATTCACAATTGCAAGAGGTGAAATTCTCCGTCTTTGCAATGGTGTTGCCCATCGATTTGCTTTAGCTATTAATCGTGATGTGTTTGGAAGGAGACCCTCCTCATGACGTCCTCCTAGATTCTGAGTTGAAATCCCTTTTTTAATCAATGAATCCCTTTGAACCAAAACAAAAAAAAACAAAAAAAAAAAAAAAAACAATGAATCCTTGAAGAAAATATCATTATATATGTAAAGCTTTGAAAGAAGAACATGAAAAAAATCTCAAAGTTTATCTTGATAAATAAGATGGTCCGAGGTCCATAAGATGCTTAAATACTCATATCGAACTGTATTAAAAAACAAAAAGAAGAAAATGATCAAAATTTCCTAAAATCTTAAATTGCAGATTTGATGAAGAAAAATGTCATTATTTGATCAGAAAAGCTATGTATTCGTTTTGAGCACCTAATAAGTCATTTCAAATATTGCTATAGTAATACGAAGTTTGATTACTTCTTGTTCTCTTCTAAATGGAGTATTATGGGCTCAAGAAAACCAGGACCCCTAAATTTAGATTTCTCAAGACCCTTTTTTTTTTTTTTTACTTAACCCTGTCGAGCTGCTCCTCTATATTTTCCACTAGTTGTCCCACATCAACCACATTCACCCTCCTCAGCCATGCTCATACATTGTAAGCAAATAATATGGTGCTACAACATGAAGCTTTCAGCATATACATAAAATGATCTGTAATTTTTTACCGTACTATTATTATTGATCTGAGAGCATGGCCACCAAAGATAGGCCTCCATTGCATTATTTTCTTGTTTATATTATTTTTATGGCGTTGTCTTTAGAGATGATTGACATGCATTATTATTTATCTGATACTGACTTCAGACTGGGATGCGAATAACAGTTCACTCTTGGCGGTCCAATGAGCAATTCGGTCTCCACCTTAGAACTCATGCTTCTTTGGCTCCAGTTGCTTACAAAAGCAGAAGCTCCTGCTTTTTCATAGCTTGCAGAAGCAGAAGCGCTTTCTTCTTGACCTGAAGACTCCATCCACGGCTTTGCACGACACTGATCATATCATCATTGTACAGATAAATAAACGAGGGAAGCAAGAAAGACTAGAAAAAAGAAATCATAATGGAAATCAGGATACCAAATCGCCTCAAACGTCATGCACAGTACGGAGTTGTTAGTAATTAAATGGAATCAGTTCAAAAGGATTTAAAAACGTTTACCTCTTCCCACAATTGTGCATTCTCTTGTAACAGGAACCTCTCCTGATTTTAGAGGAGAGAAAGATGGTTAGAACTCAGAACTAGTGAAGCAGTTGAACAATGTATGTATAGAGCTCTACAAATTATTTTAATGGTTAGAGAGTTGTTATATTGAGACACTAAAAAAAGTGCACTCTAAATTTTTAATTCATAACAGAAGATTGGAAAATTGGCCAAAAAAATCAATTTTCACATCTCAATTGTTGGCAAAATCAGTTTTTCAGCATGTTTTGAGTATTTAAATTTTATTAGTTTAACAATTGTTGAAATGATAAATTTTCAGTATGTCATCGATATTTAATTTTCATTAGTTCAACAATTGGGATTTGCTTTTTTATTAATCATTTTAGCCCATTTCCTTCGAGAATTTTTATATAATAAATGCAGCATAACATTTTTTAAATGCTAATAACAACACCGTAATAGTTTTGTAGCACTAAATTAAATGAGTACCTTTGCCTTAAGTTGTTCCCCCTGCTCCATATATAATTGAGCCTGGAATCACTTCCAAGTTAGTAAAATTTCAAAAGGAAAATAAAAATCCATTTAACTGATAAGAGTGGGAGGAAAATGGAAGTTTAATCATTAGCTGAAATACCTTCCTCTCTCTTATGTTGCATAAGCTTCGTTCCAGCTGGCTACTGATCTCTTGGAGTTCTTCAACAGAGCAAGAATCCAAACCATTTCCCAAATACTTCCTACGACATACAAATTTCAGAGTTTAGGAAAACCTGAAACATCAGTTGAGTACAAAAGTGCTGGAGAAGATGATCAAAACTAAGCCATAAACCGTTGAAGCTTCTAGGATCTCTATCTTCTGGGCCATAGTAGCTGATTCATGCTTCAAGTGCTGCATGCATGCAGATTAGTTAGTTTTTCTCAGCCTGAACTTGTCTCATATATGAGGTTAGTGTTATCAAGAAATCACTCGCCTTTTGACCTTTTGCATTACGTTTTTTTATGCTATTGAATAAATAAAAGAAAATTCAAAAGAGAGTGCAGAAAGTCAAAAGCAATGCGAAAATCACTTCATGTAACAAAATTGTCTTAAAACAATCATCATCAGTCACAACTAAAGAGTACACACAATGTGAAATGTGATATATAATTCTCCTATAGAGTACAAACGCATGGAAACATGCTTAGGTGTAAAAGGATTTGCTAATAGTAACCTAATCAACAACTTGAAGCCCCCTCCCCAGATTCTTTTCTTTTTTCCTTTCTCGTTAGATAAGCATGTATCAGCCTATCAGGTGTCAATATTGTAAAGTAATGATGATGCTTAAATAAGACGAGGAAGGTCAAAATCCAAAAAACTTCCCAGCAATCTTAATATACATATTAACAAATACAATTGTGTGTATGTATAGTACTGATTTGCACATACGTAGATTACAACACACAGTTGATGGAGAAATGGAGTTTCAACATAAAACCAATTAGCAATATGAGTAGTATCTCAACTACTTATAAGCACATGCAATGTCTCTTCTCTCATCAATGTGGTATTCATTCACAACATGCCCCCTCACGTGTGAAAATTTTTAAGCCTAACACATGGACAACACAACTTGTGTGACATGGAGCATGTGTGGTATTGGAAATATGGAGAGTTTTTCAACTACTTATAAGCACATGTAAGGTGTTAGGAATGTCGGTACTACAAGATAGAGAATGTCAAGGTAAAGTAGAAAATGAACATCAAGAATTTATGTGGTTCGGCAATTTATGCCTACGTCCACGAAACAAGGATCAATCTTCACTATTATGAAAAAAATGAGTACAACAAGAGTAGTCTTACCAAGCCAAAGACAAGACTTGATGGATACAAGAAAGTATGACACACACTTTCTATCACTCTAAACTTCACTCACAATGTGTAGTGGAACACTCTCACTCTCACTCTTGGAGTGGAACTCTAGCTTTGGAATTGATCATTTGCTACTCACACTTGGTTCTTAATTGGTTACTTCACTACAACATCACACTCATATTTATAGGTGAGGGTTTAGCATCCTACTAGTTTCTAGCATATTCTTCAAACCTCTTGCATAGATAATTCTAGACTAGCCACAAACTTGTAGCTTCTAGATCTTTCCATTTGCAGCCAAGGAAGCTAGTACTCTCTAACTTCTTCCATCAACTTAATAATATGCTAGAATTGTCTAGCATGCTCCAGCCACCTCACTTGCTTATTAGAATAATCTAGAACATTGATCATGGGCTGGACCATATACCAACACAAGGTTCCTGCTCTCATCATTGTATGATCCATTTCCAACCATTGCCACAGAGAATCTCTTAAACAATTAGTTCTGGATTAGTATTGGAAAGAAAGGTGCCTAGCAGAAGCAAGTAGGAAGAGAAGCGATAAGAAGTTAAGAACCATCCCAGGCAAGTGATCTAAAAAACACTTACAGGAAAGTAGACTGTTGAGCTTGGTGCATCTGTGCCTCCAGAGAACACAACAGTCCTTTTTCCAATGCCCTCTGGAAATACGACAGATTCCAGGGCACATAAACCACCCAGAAATGCCCCCTGACTATAATCAAAATAGGTAAAATAAAAAAGCTATATCTTCATTGGGGTTCAAGCAAGGGGTGGTTGCTTATTACACCATGTTCCTCTAGCACACCTAGTAAAAACGAATATAGTCTAAGCTAATATGAACAAATGGGTCCGAATTTCCTCATTACTCTTACTAGGTGGTGAGCGGTGCGCCACATTTAAGCGGTTTAACTATAGTTAACTAATTGAATTTTCATATATATAACAAAAATAAAATGCTAAAAAAACCACATTTTTATAAATTCCTTTCTAATTTGCTTGCCTCAAATCTTGAAATTATTTTTTATTATCAATGCTATTTTTTTTTACGTTAGAAATCATCAATGCTAAAAAGATTCATACCATATAAAAAAGGGTATATATATTAAAACCAAAGAAAACAATTAGGATAGTGCTATTCATACACCTATTTTTACTTTTTGCACTCTTGTTAATTTTTTACTATTGATCTTCTTCTATTTATTTGATCCAACTGACGAAATTAAGAGTAGTAAAAATGCCTACGTGGATAGCACCACCCAACAACTATTACTGCTACATTTTCACTCTTTCAGTTCACTAGGAGGGTACTAGAACCAAAGAAACATCTATGTGTTAGGAGTACTAAGATCCAATGGTTATGAAATGGACAAGTGTCAAATGAGTATGAAGTTAGTTGAGTTGGTTATGTTGTGACTTAGAGTGTAAGCTACCAAAGGGATATTATAAATAGCTTGTAACAAATCATTGTAACTAATAAGAAAAGAATAGTACAATTGAATAACTGATTTCTCTCTCTAAACTCTAATTCTTCTACTTCTCTCTCTGTCTTTCTTTCTTCATTCTTTCTTGTATCTGTATAATCCTCTTCCTCAAGAACCTATGATGGTTTACATGGTATCATCGCCCGAACAAGCGTAACGCTTGCCGGTTTTGTCGATCTTGGTTTCGATTGCTTCCGCTACTGTGATTGCTTTTCTTTTGCTTTGGTTTTCTGGAATATTGGGTTATTGTTGATCGTGTTTCTGATATATTGGGGTGTTTTCTGCAAATCTTCGTCTGGTTCTTCACTCGTTAAAGGGTGCATACCAACTGTTTGTGATTTGATGTCAGTCAAGATTCTTTGGAATTTCTCTACAATTTGCAACAATGGTAACAGCAGCTCAGTTACAGATCTTACAGTCTCCGATTACTTCGTTGATTTCATCTGTTTCCAGTTCGGTTAATGTGAAATTGGACGAGACGAACTATTTGGCTTGGCATTTTCAGATGCAGCTCCTTGAAGGCCATAGCATCATTGGTTTTGTTGATGGTTCAATGCCGTGTCCTGCTCAATTCAGTCAAGATTCCTCTGCTACTTCTGCAGTTTTGTCTGGTGATTCGTCTACACGGATTCCTTCTGATGACTACACTATATGGAAGATGCATGATAAGGCATTAATGCAATTGATCACTGCGACTCTATCTCCTGCTGCAGTTTCTTGTGTCATTGGAAGTACTAGCTCCAAAGAATTGTGGACACGTCTTAAAGATCAATTTTCTACAGTCACAAGAACGAGTATTTTCCAACTCAAATCCGAACTTCAGACAATAAAGAAGGGTACTGATTCTGTCACATTATATTTGCAGAAAATTAAGGAAGCAAGAGATTTGTTGTCTGCTGCTGGTGTATTCTTTGATGATGATGACATTGTGATTCTTACACTAAATGGTTTGCCTGCTGAATTCAATACCATAAGGTCTGTGATCAGGGGTCGGGAGAGTGTGATATCACTGAAAGATCTTCGATCTCAATTACTTGCTGAAGAAACTTTGCTTGAAAATTGTTCTCATTCACCTGTGTTGTCTGCATTAATGGCTCAAAGTAATGGTTTACCTTCCAAGAATCAGTCTTTTTCTGGGAATTATTGTAACAATAACCATGCTAGTCCGAATTCGACTGCATACAAGTCTTTCAATAATACCAAAGGCAGGAATCGGTTCACTCCTAACTTCAATCCCAAGTATGGCAATTACAAGAATTTTCATTCGAGTCCTGCTCCTGGAATCCTCGGTACTTCACCACCAAGATCAAACAATTATGGATTTCTGTCTCAACCTTGTCAAATCTGTGGGAAACACAATCATATGGCATCAACATGTCATTTTCGTAATACAAACTCTGTACAGGGTTGTCAAATTTGTGGAAAGAACAACCATTTTGCGGATACTTGCAGATTTCGCAACTCTGGTGCTCCTTCTGGTTGTACTATATGTGGAAATCAATATCACAGTGCAGACACATGTTTTCAAAAGAATTCTAATCCTCAACTCAATGCTCTACATGCTGCAACACCTAGTGGTCCATATTCTCCATTCACAGTGACAGTGCCATCTGCACCATCCCAGCAACAAGTATGGCTTACTGATTCTGGTGCCAATAATCACATGACCTCAGATTTGAGTAATCTCTCCTTGGCAACTCCATATCCATCACATGAGACAATTCAAACAGCGAATGGTGAAGGTTTAGCAATATCTCATATTGGTTCTACACTTCTCAGAACTTCAAAACAGCCTATTAAACTTACTTCAGTTCTTTATGTACCAAAATTGTCTCAAAATCTGTTGTCTGTGCATAGGATTTGTCTGGATAATAATTGTTGGTTGATTTTTGATGCGTTTTCTTTTTGGATTCAGGACAAAGTCACAGGGAGGATACTTTACAAAGGGCTGTGTAACAATGGATTGTACCCCATCATCTCTTCAACATCTCCTGCAGCAAGCTTCAGAGGACATCCTGCAGCCTTTCTGGGAAAGCAAGTTCCTCACAGTATTTGGCATAAGAGATTAGGTCACCCTTCAAATTCAATAGTTTCTCAGGTTCTTACATCGTCAAATGTTTTCTGTGTTACTGATACAAACCCATCTCTGTGTCAGACCTGTTTAGAGGGCAAATTTAGCAAATTGCCATTTTCTTCTTCCCTAGTCAAGTCTGTCAAACCTTTTGATATTGTTCATAGTGATGTGTGGGGGCCTGCTCCGTGTATTTCTTTTGACGGTTTCAAATACTATGTCACTCTCATTGATCATTGTACAAAATATTCCTGGATTTTTCCTATCTGCAATAAAAGTGATGTTTTTGGAATCTTTAGGGCCTTTTACAATTTTATTCTCAATCAGTTTCAAGTCTCCATTAAAACTCTTCAAAGTGATGGTAGTGGTGAGTATGTTAGTAAGGCATTTCAAACATTCTTATCTGATAAAGGCATCCATCATCAAGTGTCTTGTCCTCATACACCCGAACAAAATGGCATTGCCGAA